GGAGCAGTGCAGGTTCACCCACCTTGCTGATCAGGTTCTCGTTCGTGGCGAGATGAGTGCGACAAGTGATGCATCCATACACTTGCACTGGCGAAGCGAGAAACTGAGTGTGCTGAAATCCCATGCTGGGAAACGATGGAGCGGTGTGATGTCGACGGGCGTGGGGTGTGTGGAGGTTTGGTGGAAATGGGGAATACGTGGAGCAAAGGATGAAAAAGCGCAGCGCGTAGCTCGAAAGGCTTTGATGACGAAGATGCGCCAGCTTGCAGGGGCCAAAAGGCCACGACTTGCGAGGCTAGGATGTCTCACATTCAGCGACCCGAAGTTGGTGAGGTGATTGATGGATGGGTAGCGATGCTGGATGGCATGCGTGAGAGGGAGAGGCTGCGCCGGGGTGGGTGCGGCTGAGCAAGCGCCCAAATTGCGCACCGCCGCACGCACGCACGCACGCACGCACGCCTTGAGCCCCTCCTAGCTGCAGGGCATCGCATGCAGCTGCATCGCGGCCGGTCCGGTCCCGCGCGCGCTCGCTCGCCTACCAAGATCCCGCACGCAGCATATATGGGTCCTGTATGAATCACGTGAATAAAAGTGTTTGCCTGTCATGCAAGTTGGTGGAGCATCACGTGGACGTACAAGCACCAACACATCAGCACGTGATGTGCTCGTCTCGCTGGTGGCTCTGCATGCGAGCGCGCGCGGCGGCAGTCACGAGTTTTGAATGTGAGCATACTCTTGACTCAAAACTGTTGTATATTGTAGAGGCGCCCATGCAGATTTTAAACGGTAGGTAAGGTGCATGCGCGGTCCGTCCATGTGCAAACAACAGCGCACCGCACCGCACCGCACCGCACCGCACCACGCAAGCAGCGAAAGGGAGACCAGACGCCGCGCGCCCGCACACTAGCTAGCTAGCTAGCTGCCTCGAGGATCCTCTTGTGTTGCCCTGGGTGTGTGCGTGCTGTGTGGAAGCAAATGTGAATGTGCACCGTGAGCCTGCCTGTATTGACGAGTCTGCTGAGCAAGGAATTGGGGAATTTTTGCATTTGCGCTCTTCCTCCCCACCTCATACCATACACAACAAGCTCCATCTCGCGCTCTTACACGCGCACTCAAAGCAAAGCAAAGCAAAGCAAAGCAAAGCAAAGCATTCCGGTCCGCTCTTCATAGCAACTCATCACCTCGCAAGCCCTCAGAGCAACCTTGCCAAAGCTATACAAGCTGCAAACACAACTCCCGCAATCAACAATCCTTGCCACGAGCCTCGAGCCTGGGACAAGCTTTGGCGTGCAGATCAGATCAGATCACACTTGTGCACCTTTGATCGCTAGCAAGATCGCACCATCACCTTGACAGACATTGACATTGTTGCAAGATGGCTACCTCGTTGCATTTTGGCCCTGAATGGATGCGCAGGGGACCGGGCAAGTCCGCTTCCAATGCCAACGCTTCGCAATCAAACGGCAATGCGCCAGGCAGTGGTGGTGGCGGCGGCGGTGGTGGCGCAGAGAACACCTCCAACCGATCCGTATCGCCAGGTCGTCCTTCTTCAAATACCAGTGCCAACTCTGCCGGTGCTGCTGCCGTGGGTAATGGACCGCTAGGCGCTCTGGGCTCTCTACCCACTTCCACTCGACGCAATCCCAGTCTAGGAAACCTGTCGCATGCTGCCCCTTCCAGTCTTTCCTCGCCATCTGGGCCTGGATCCACTTTGGGCTCACCAGCGGTATCCAGTCCTGGCCTATTCAGCTTTGCGGCAGCGGCGGCTGGAGGTGGTGGGGCTGTCGGAGGAGGAACAGGAGGAGGAGGAGGAGGAGGAGGTGGAGGTGGTAGTGGTGCAGGTGGTGCTGGTATCACGCCTGGCAACACCTCCAATAGCACTTTGGCCCCGGCTGCCGGTGGTGGAGCCGCTTCTTCTCAGCAGCCTAACAGCTCCTCACACCAGTCTGGAGTCAATGCTGATGCTGATTTCAAGCTCTTGAGCTTGTACGGTGCAGACCCTCAGTCCAATGCCAATCCCAAAAGTCCTCTTCCCGATACGGGCAAGGAACATTGGTCGACTGTGGGGGTTGCAGAGAGAGGAAAGAAGAAGGTGAGTCACGAGTCTGGCCGCTTCAGCAATCCCGCCCTTCAACGCGCGCTGGCTGACCAAACGCTTCCCTTCTTCTGATCAATTCAGCCGCTTGGTGGCGTTCTGGACCGAGACAGGGATCTCTCCAGAAGAAATGCGGATACCGGAGGTCCATTGTCACCCGCATTGGGAGGCGAGCCGCGAGGTTTGAATACTCGAGCATTTTCTGGAAGCTCCACTGGTGTGGGCGAAGGTCGAAGGTCCGGCTTATTCGGTCGAGGTCAAGGCGGCGGTGGGATTGGGGTCTTGAACGTCAATACAGGTCCAAGCGCTGGCAGTGGTCCTGTTTCAGGTGCGACCAATCCTTTGAGTCCCAGTGTGCCTCGCGAACGGTTCTCGGGCATACAGGGTGGCGTGCTTGGGGGTGTCGCGCCTACGCGAAAGCGTCAGGATAGTGAAGGAGGCGGCAACACCGCGACCAGTGAGTACGCTAGTCTCGGATGCGCGTGTCTATTCGAGTGTGATTGAGCTCATGTCGACTCTCACAGGTACGAGGATGCCGCGACCACCATCCGACGATGCCGAGCAAGGCCATGATCGTCGTCCCAGCCGTACACGATTATCGATGGGTGCGCTGGGAGAAGTCGGAACGGCAGCGACAGATGCGGTCTCGTCGCCACTGGAGACGCAGCCCGAAACGCCGCGTTCGGCTCTGCCAACACCTACTGGAGGCAGTCTGTCAGGCCGCTTCAAGAGAGATCGCATACCTGGCGAGGGACCAATCGGACCCAATGCCGATGGCAGCGCAGGCTTTGGCAAGTTCTCGTCCGTAGGCAGAAAGCGCGAACGTCAGTCAGCTGCGGCCGCAGCTGCTGTCTCTTCTTCTGAGCCTGGTCAGCAGGATACAACAGAGCACCAAGGCGTCGCTGAAACGGAACCCGTCCCTGGTGAGCCTGTGGACAAGGATTTGGCGGATCGCACCTCTTCATCATTATCTCTTGCCAACTCTGGACCCTTGGACACTGTGCCCGATTCGTCAGCGAAGCTGCGCGCCGATGAATTGAGTCATGCTGCCTCGGACGAGCCCATGCCAGCAGAATCGGCCGAGTGGTCTCCAGAGACCGAAACATGGTACTACAAGGATCCTTCGGGCACATCTCAGGGTCCGTTCCCGGCTACGACTATGCAGGACTGGTTCGAGCAGAGCTACTTTACTGGCGATCTTCCGATGCGACGAGGTGCAGAAGAGGAGTTTGCACCTTTGGCCAGCATACTCGCTGCTCTGGGCCATCCCGAAAAGCCTTTTTTGACGCCTCCTGTTGCAGCACCTTTAGCACCCTTGGCGCGGGAGGTGGAGCGGTCAGCACAATCAGGCGATCAGTCGCAGCAGCAGCCTTCTTTGGAGGACTCGGCCGCTCAGCACCTTCAGTCAGCTGCGGATCTCAATGTCGGTGCGGAACACGGAGACTCCGACCTCTCAAGAGACGTGCCCCAATCCGCAGAGGGTCTTCCCCCAGACGTTGGTGGGCGGCCATTTGACCAGTATGGTTCTTTCGGAACCCCAGGACAGCAGGACCCGTCCGCAGCACATCCATGGGCGCCCAATGATCGCATGGGACCCGGGTTCGGCTCGCACGCTTGGTCCCAGTCGAGCTTTGGTTTCGGTAGCGGACCTGGACCTCTTCCGCCGCAGTCATTTGGAGAACACCACTCGCCCTTTCTGCAGCACGTACAGCCTCCTCAATCTCCCTTTGGCGCACCCGCTGCTTTCGGTCCACATGGACCTCGTAGCCAAGAGGAGTACTTGCATATGATACGGCAGAGGGAGCTTCAGGAGCAACGCCATGCAGCTGCAGCTGCTGCTGCTCGCGCTCAGGCTGGCTCCGGCTTGGGCTTTGCAGCGCCACCACATTACCTGAACGATGCCTTTGGTGCTCGTCCAGGTCAGGCATGGAACGACGTACCAGGCCCATGGTCTCACCAAGGCGTGCACGGCTTGCCAGGCCATCAGCTGCCACCCTTCCAACACAACTCTTCTCCATTTGGAGCGTTCAACCCTCAAAGACAACCATCTTTCGACTCGGTAGGATCTCCATGGCGCTCTGCTGCGATCCCCTCATTGCCTGACGGTGGCTTCAACCATCAACCCAATGATCAGCGAATTGCGAGCCAGGTCTTCGATCAGGTCACTAATCCGATCGCGCCTGCAGATGCGAGTCATGAAGAGGTCCACCCGGCGCATCAGCAGACCGACGGAGCGTCGGTGCAGGCAGCAGCGCCTCCTCCCGACGCACTCGCAGCAAGTCTGCCGACTCAGGCTCAGACTGAGATCGCTCCTGATCTTCCTCCTGCCGCGTCTTCGCCCTCTGCTCCCACTGTGGCAAATCCAGCTACCCCCACGCCTCCCGAACCAACGCCCGAGGAACTTTGGCCGCAGAGCCCTTCTGCTGTGGAGTTTGCTGCTGAACCGCGCCTCGCGGAGGAGCCAGCGCCTGCGCAAGCGATCTCTGAGGCCGACAGAGGCGATGGCAGCGAGAATTCGGTGCGCAACAAGCGGTCTCGACGCAAGCAGCAGCAACAAGCTTCTGAAGGTGCGCTCTCCGATGCTGGCGCCACTGGCAAGGCTCTACGCGGCGCGGAGCAAGCAGGCGGTCTGAAGGTTCTATCTCGTGAAGAATTTGAAAAAGCGCAGTCTGGTCAGGGCAAAGGGGCTGATCAAGGTCAAGCTCCAGCCGCTGCTTGGCTTGTCGATTCGCCCTCAGGTGGGACTCCGACCGCATCGAAAGCTCCGTGGGCAAAGGATCAAGCGGAAAGCGGGACTGCGCCCGGAGGTCTGAGCCTTCGACAGATCCAGGAAGCTGAGCAACGTCAGGCGGAGATGCGCCGAGCCGCAGAAAGAGCTGATGCAGCGCAGCGAATCAAGACTTCTTCTGCGGCCAGCGATGCTCTGCCGACTACGATGCGATGGGGTCTTGCTAGCGGTCATGCGCACGGAGCACCACCACCGGTGGAGGATGCCAGAGCCTCTACGCCAACAACTTCGGCTGCTCCGGCCTGGAACACTTCCACGAGTGCGTCTAAGAAAAAGACTTTGATGCAGATTCAGGAAGAGGAGCAAAAGCGAGCTGCGAAGGCCAAGGAGGCGCAAGCGGCTCAGCAAGCCGCTCTTCAGCGCGGTTACGCCGACTCTGCTACGCGCCAGACTGCACCTGCTCCAGCTGTCAGCCAAGGCGGCGGCTGGAGCGTGGTGGGTGCCAAGTCTGCAGCTACGAACAGTCCTATTGTCGCGTCTGCTGCACGACCTGCTGGCGCTTCTGCAAGTGCTCGAGCTGTCAGCTTGAACAGCCCTGCAGCGGGAGCCTGGGTCGCTGGCACGGCCAAGCAGAACGGAGCAGTCGCCGCGCCTGCCAGGTCCTCCGTCACCAGCTCGCCTGCCGTATCGAAGGCCAAGACTGCCTCGTCAAGCGCAGCTGGAGAGTCGGGCAACGATCAGCCCAGCGCGGAATTCCTCAAGTATCTCAAAGATCAGCTCAAAGGTCTGAACGTCAAGGGTGAGTTTTTTTTTTCCCTCGAAATTTGGCTGCGCTCGCGACCTTGCCCCGGCGGCTGTATGCTGACCACGAGTCGATTTCTTTTTTTCATCATTGCGACGCAATAATAGTGGAAGACTTTGTCGAGATGCTGCTCTCTTTTCCGCTCGATCCCTCACCAGACGTGGTGGAGATTATTGCGGAATCCGTCTATGCGAACAGCAGCACGATGGACGGTCGAAGGTTCGCAGCCGACTTTGTGGCGAAGCGCAAGATGGATGCTCAGAGCGGACGAGGAGTAGGTGCGGGCGTGGGAGGAGGAGGAGGAGGAGGATGGAGCGGACGCGGGGGTGCGCTTGGCTTTGGCATGCCGAATGGTCAGGGAAGCATCGGACGAAGCACTAGCGAATCTTTTGGTGGTGGTGCTGCTGCTGCGGGTGTTGGAGGCGGCGCGAGATCGTCTGCTGCTGCTGCTGCTGGCCATGTTGCTGCTGGTGCAACGACCGGCTCGAGCGCCAACGACTTTGCAGGTTTCAAGGTGGTCAAGGCCAAAGGTGGCAAGAAGGGCGGTAGAGCATAAAGGGGGGGGGAGCAAAACGGGGGCGCGCACCAAAAGACCCACCCCGTGCGCGTTAGCTTTCGCCAAGAGGCCAAAAAGCGACAAAGGAGCCAACTTTTTGCAAACTTATCAGACGCCCTCGCCCACACGATGAAATGAAAATGATTTTTTCTCTCCGACTTTCTCCCCCTTTGGGAAGCGTATTGGATTGATGAGATGGAACGTGGTCGAGAGGCGAGTGTTACATGTGAATCTTTGGGGGAAGGTGGGATGGGAAGGTTGATGCGAGTCCTGTGGCCCGTGCATTCGAGCGCCTTGCACAAATGCGGCACAAAGGAAAGAAAAAGAAGGACGCCAGCTGAAAGTGCGTGTGTAGGGGGGCAAGCACGACTTTACCAAGCCTCCCACTGTTGTTTGCCAAGGGATACGAGACGATTAAAGACCTCATCTCGGCGAGGCAGGGCGGACAAGATGAACGATTGACCGCTGCTCGTCTCGATTTGCAAAGCATCAGCAACGACGCTATCCAGCGCCCAACCAACGATCAATTTGCCCGTGATGCCCAAACCTCCCAATTTCTTTACGCTGCGAATCTCGTCGATCTGCAAGCTGAAGAGGGGCGCAGGTCTAGCCTTTTCCGCCAAATCTGCCAACTTTTTCGCAGCCGCAGCGGCAGCTTCCCCATCCCCATCCCCATCCTCCTCCTTGCCATCCGCTCGAGATGCTGCTGCTGCTGCTGCTGCTTCGGCAGCTGCCAATGCAGCTCGAGCATGGGCAGGTTGACGCTTTTCAAAAGAGACGCACGGCGTGGTGGCGGTGGTGCTGATGAGCAGCAGACCTCTTTTGCCCTTGAAGCGTGCATGAAAGGAAGAAGGACCATCGCCAGAAGCTTCCGGTCCCAACGTCTTCTTCACCACCCCCACCTTGCGTTTTGCCACTTGCACACCCGCGCTAGCCTTGACCCGATTGGCCCCCAAAGCAGTCTCGGTCGCACCAGCAGTGGTGCCTTTGAGGAAACGCAGAAATCGAGAGGCTTTTTTCGCCTTTTGCTTTCCCGAAGAGGCATCACCTTCCGAAACTTCCTCCTCCTCCTCCTCCTTTTCATTTTGCTCCTGCGCTGCCTCTCTCAACTGCCCCTTGTACTCTGGCGGAAGATTCGAGTCGTCGGCCATCTCGTGACCCTCTAGAGCCTCCGGTTCCGGCGCAACATTGGAAGGCGGCGGAGGTGGCAGGGGTGATTTGTTGGCCTCTCCAATACGAAGCAAGGTGATGGTGAGCTGAGCATTGGTGGGTACGCCCTTTAGGATGCTATTCCTCAATTCGAGGTACTCCTTCCAATTGGGAATCTTTTCATCCAAAAGCTTTCGAAGGTCGGAAATGGCCAGCTTATCGAACAGAGGTTGAGCGAAAAAGGCGAACCCCAAGCCGGCCGTGCTGCTTCGATAGACGACGTAAATGGAGGTAAAGTAGGAGAGCACGACCAAGGGTGCTAGGATTCCTCCCAAAAAGGCGCGCGCCCGATGCCGCGAAAAGGGAGCCATGGGTGATAGCGCATTGCCAAATCGTTCCCACGTATCTGCCAAGTCCTGTGTGCGACGGAAAATAGGGGCCGAAAACTTCAGCGAGGCAGCATCAATCCCGCCAAGCCGACAGGAAGCTCCTCGCTCACCTCTAGAGCGTGCAGAAAGGGTTGCATGGTGTTCCAGAGCGATTGGTCCACAGCAGCAGCGGCAGTCTGGGATGTGCCATTGTCATCGGCAGTGGTGGCATCTTGAGCGGCATGAGCGGAGGAGGTGAGAGCAGCGACTGGCTCCTCCACCTTGACTTGTCCATCCTTTTCACTGATGCTGTAATTCTCCGAATCCTCGTCGCTCTCCTCTTGACCGCCTGTTTTTGCCCTTGCATCGCCCGTGCTCTGATGACCGCCTCCTATGGCGGTGCTCACTGCCAATTTCGAGATGCTCTTGACGGCATGTTCTGCTTCCTTTTCCGCCGCTTCTCCCTTGAAGCTCTCCTTTGCCCCTGTAAGACTCTCGCTACCCAAATGACCAGCTTTCGGCACCTTGGCTTCCCCAGTCTTGGCAGAGATGGCGGCCAATGGAGCTGGGGGAAAGAGGAGGCGCCTGGAACGAGGAGAGACCAAAAGCAGCACGACAAAGGAGATCAGGGCAGGCACGACAATGTCCAAGAGCCATGCGAGGGCATAGGTGCCCGCAAAGACGGCAGTGCGCCTCTGCTCGTGCCATGAGCGAACGCGGGCAATGTGCTTGAAGAAGCTGGCGAATCCGAGACCGACTGTGAGGTATATGCGCTCCAAGGTGCTCTTTAGCTTCTCGGGAGAAAAGGGGTCCTACACGGATGCAAGCATGAAGAGAATATGGTGTCAGCTGCGTCTCCAGGGTGAGGCCTCATGGAGGGGAAGGGGGGGAGCATCCATTTGCTCACCTTGTCGGCAATGTTCAGATCCATGCCTCCGGGCGGCGGTCGCTCAATGAACTTGACATGCGCCACCGACTGTGGGCGAGATGATGCAGGTCAGCAAGACGGCAAGGCAAGGCAAGCAGCAGCAGCAGCAGCAGCAGCTCTTGCTACAACAGCAATGCTGCCGCGCTGCCGCTGCCAATATGCATCGCGCACTCACATTGTTGAATCGACGAATGAGTTGCCAAAGCTCTTCATTCTTGATGCTGTGCAGGACGCTGAAAGGGGTGGGGGGAGGCCAGCGGAAAGGAAAAAAAGAGGCGGGACGCTGCGCGGCTGAGCTGTGGTCTCTGGGGGGAGGATGGCGAAGAGGCTCAATCACAACGCTACGCACGGCACTGGCACTTTTGGATCCTGGCTCCAGCCCAGGTCATCGATTCCAGGATCTACTGCTCGCTGGAGGAAAAGGCAAGGAGGAGGATGAAAGGGGGGGTAAGTGGAATCAGCGCCAATTCATGCCCCTGCTTTGCAAACTCCTGCCTGACTCTTCTCTCGTTGCTCACTTCACTATCGCCTTCAGCCAGAGCAGGAACCTGTTCTGCATGAGCACCGTGCATATCCTTGACGTGATCCGGTGCCACGCGAGCCTTTGGCATTTCCTCTCTGCTCATCTCCGCTTGGTGAGGATGTCGAGCATGGACATCAGCTTGCGCGCTCGCTGTGCCCAACGCCTTTGAGATCAGCGAAGGCTCGACAGCGGGCGAAGCGGAGGAGGATAGAGCTCCGTTGGCCCCTTTGACGACCTCGCCGCTCATCTCGAGCTCAGTCCGCAAGCAATGGTGAATGCTGAGATTTTGGCACTGCTGTCCGTGGTGGTGGTAGGAAAGCGGGTCGTGGTGATGATGGAGAGGAGAAGGTGGAGAGGGTTGATGTGCGCGAGGATGCTCTTCTGGTGACTCGGACTCTTACTCTTGCGTGACCTTGGCTTGCGCTTCGAGCAGCTTGCTTATCTGCTAAGGCTGCTGCTGCTGCTGCTGCTGCATACGGTGCATGCCTCCTCGTGCCTCTCTCTCATGAGCGATACTCTGTGACTGTGACTGTGGCATCTGATCCAAATCGCAAATCGCAAATCGCAAATCGCAAATCTTGAATCAGCTGCCGCGTTGCGCTCGCTCCTCATGAGACCCTGACGTCATCTCGGCTCGGCTCAGCTTGCATGCGAGCGCGTCGTGCGTGTGTGCGTGTGCGTGTGCGTGTGCGCGTGCGTGCGTGTGCGTGTGCGAATAATATCAGACATGGGATCGAGCAGCAGCAGGAGGTGGAGGTGCGATCAAGTCACGTGCACGGGCATCCCGTATGCGTATCCAAAAAGTCGTCGCCACGCAATCACGTGTATCTTGAATTAGCGATGCCGACGGGCAATTTGGGGAGAGTAAATTTAAGCATTTGATTCACCACGACTTGGGCGGCAGCAGCGCAGGCATTGTGACTCGGACTTGGATCTTCGAATCACTCCACCAGACATGAACAGCAGCCCTTGTCTTGCCATGCAGCAAGAGAGGATGAAAGAGCCACGCTGCACCATGCCATGCCGTCTTGGTCCCGTCCAACTTGTGCAGCATTCGTGATTCGTGATTCGTGATTCGTGATTGTCGTTGCCATTGCCATTCGTGGTTGCCATTGCCATTGCCCTGCGCAGGAGAATTTGGTCGCCTTTGCAGCTGCTGCCCTGCCGCCGCGTACGCACCCGCATGCATTCGTGATTGCTCAGTGACGAGTACCGGTACAGGTAGGTAGGTACACCACTGCAGCACCGCACCGCACCGCACCGCACCGCAGATGATCGGCGATCAAACGTCAACGTCGTCGGTCCGACGCGCGCGCGTGACGGCCATTTGGAGATTTGCACCGAAGAAGCGCCGCTGCGAGTATGTGCGTGCGTGCGTGCGTGCGTGCG